CTGGTCAGGTATTTGTAACTGCCATATATTTGTATGTATATATATATATATATGTATGTATTTTAAACAATCTACAAAAACAACAGAAGAGAGATCTCTGTGAAGTTAGAAAAGTTGTATGAACCAAAACTCCTCCTAAAACATTCGGAAAAACTAATTTTACATAAAAATTGGCAACAGAAAATTATTGAGGTCAAATTCTATACAAAGTTACTATAAGAAAAAAGAGAATTGAGAGCAGAATAATATCTCTGCAGGCAATAAAACATACCAGAAAGACAGATGCATGAAAGATAAAAACTATAATGTACTATTTCAAAACAAGCTAAATATTTTAAGAAAATTATTTAAAACATGAAGGAACTACAAAAATCACAATTTGAAAAACTCTGAAGTCAAGGAACAGGTGTCAAAAAATAATTAAAAATAAAAGAAAAAGTGAAGACTAAATTAGAAGAAATGCAAGAGTGAATAAATATAACAGATAATTCCTTAAGATAAATAGAATGTGAAAAGGAGAAAAATTTGAAAGTTCAAAAAGAAATAATAAGAGAAATTTAAAAGATTCAAGAGAATGAGACAGATATTTGAAGACAGGCAAAGAAAATAAAACATGCAGATAACAGGAGTCCCTAAGGAATAAAATCAATGCATGGGAATAGAACAAATTCTAAAACTCCAGAAAATGTTTCCAAAATAGAAAAAAAAATTGAAACTACATTTTAAAAAGCACACTCTGAACCTTAGAATATCGATCCAGAATGACCAACACCAAAAAAAATTCTTATAAAATTACTGAACTTAAAAGAAAAAGGAAAAAGAAAATCCTAACCCTTTGTGTGTATAGACAAAGAAAGCATATGACATATGAGGAAAAATCCTGTTAGGTTATCACCAGACTTTTCAACAGCCATGCTTTATGTCAGAGGAAAATGATATACGTATTTAAGACACTCAAGGAAAGAAAATGTGTGCCAAGATTTTATACCCAGCAAACATGACTTTCAAGTAAAAAGGACACAAAAATTTGAAATCAGCATAGAAGAACTCAAGAAATACTGTTCCACAAGCCTCGTAAAAATCTTGTTGTCCTAGATTTGTATTGGAAATATCAGTAGGGATTTATGAGGTATTGTATTTTTAAAAACATATAGGCATATCTGGTTGTGTATTTCCTGGCTCTGAAGGTCTAGAAACAATAACCAACTCAGAAACAATGAATATCCTTAGGGCCCAGATGTGGTTTTGAAATACCATTTCTCTGTAAAAGAAACAGGGTTTATTGGAAAATGGTTGATCCCAAGTCTGGGGCAGGAGACGTATGAGATGAGCCTGGAACATCTTGTAACACCAGAGAGCAAAGAAGCTAATGAAGACTTGTAGGGTCATGTCTAATGGACTTAAGAACCAACTTGAAGACAAGGCTCCCACTGACTAATTTGAGCTTCATAATCGTTAAGAATTGCAAAGGCTTGAAATCCATCAAATATGTTTAAATCTATGAGTTCATAATTATGTATTTATTTATATACAGCACAAATTGGTTACCTTCTGAAGATAACAGGGACTACTCTGTTGCTTTAAAAACTGGGTAGATAAAAGGGAAGAGTCAAACATTTTTCTGGCTTTCCTTCGTGAACCATACTGCTAGGTATCTCCTTATAAAATTGTTACAGCTAACAAACGAAAACAAAATGATGCCATTGGAATGTCACAATTTGTAACTGCTAATGAATTAGTAGATGCAGGCATTGAATCAATGGCCGCTCACATCAAAAGGAGTGAAAACCAGGCATGGCATGCCTCTCGATGGAAGAACATGACACCATCTAGAGCTCTGCCAAACTGAATCTGAGCCGGGCTCTGGAGCCACCTGCCCATCTGCAGGAAATACCAGGGACAGAGGCACGGAATGACCTGCACCAAGGGCATGCGATCAGCACAGTCCAGCCTGTGGCAAGCTCTACAGTTAAACAGCCTGAGATTTTTTCAAAAGATAAATTATAAGGAAAAAAAATAAGGTATGGCGAATAACTGGTAGATAAAAGAGATGGAAAATATACATATCCAATTTTAAAGAATGGCCAAAATCAAATGACAGTGTCTCAGGGTAGTCGCTTGGGTGATAGAGCCAGAAAGAATTAGAGGCAATGGTTGCTGTTCATCTCAGGATTGTGGTCGTTTCTGAAGGGAGGGAGGGGGCTGTGACGGGCTGAGGCATATGGAGGCGCGGCTGGGTGACTGGCCAAGCTCTATTTCTTGACCTGGGTGGTGGTCACAGGCTATTCACCTAATAATAATTCACTATACCCTACTTTCGTTTGGAGGGAATTTTCTGTTATCTGTGTTTTATTTTACATTTGTAAAGGGTTTTTTTCGTTTGTTTGTTTTTTACAAGATGTTTAAAAAAACTGTTTTTGAGTTTTGAGCTCCTTTGACATTCTGATGAAAACACTTCCCGGAAAAATGTAGCAACATGCGGCTACTTGTTGGAGAGTCAGGGGACCTGTGCGCAACTCTGACAGCCCTCCCAGCTCCACCCGCCGGGAACCGAGAACTCGAGAAGAAGAAATCCCGTCAATAGGTTTTACTCAGCGGAAGGACACGTTGAATTCAAACAAAATTGCCGTGAAGTGAAATGAACTCTTTGTTTCCACCTAAAGAAGGGAGTTCTTAAATTGGAATCTGTGGGTGAACTTCAAGGGGCCTGAGAAACCCCTGAAATAGTATGACGTATTTTTGTGTGAATTTATGAGCATTTTTCTGGGGACAAGGTGCAAAGCTTTTATTAATCATCAAAGTGGTCCGTGACCTCAAACGGTCAGGAACCCTTAAAACCCAGGAGAACTGAAGAGGCTGTACTATGCCTCCTGCTGCTGGACCGCTCTGCTGCTACAGGATGCTGACGGGCAGAAGGTCCCGCTCTCCTGACCCAGCGCGCTTGCCTCTGTCCTCACCCCTCGCTGTCCCCAGTGGCAGGATCGGGCCACGGAAGCAGCAGAGGGTCCTGACCTCCCAGGCAGGTCTTTGCTTTTCAGCGTATGCTGGTGTCTGGGCAGACAAGGCTCAGCCCTCTCCATTCCGTCTCAGGACGCGGAGTCTCTGGCGTCCCAGATGCTGGTCTTTAGAGGACCGCCCGCACAATCCCTGGCAAGTCTGCCTCCACCTCTCCTATCATTTCCTTAATGTTTTCTTCTTTAGATAAAGTGAAATTTAAAAAATAACGTGTGTGGATCTAAAATCCCCCCTTTTGTTTACTTAAGTTTATTTAAAAAGGAAAATGCCTGGGAAGTGGGTTTGTAGTGCTAATCACATTTTCCTTTGTGCCTTTCTCACGGGAAGACCTCAGAACCCCGGGGCTGACTCAGAAGCTTCCAGGGAGGGTGTGGGGTTCTGCAGTTTAACGAGCTTCAAGGGTGACTCTCACTCAGGGTACAGGTTGAGAACTATGCACTAGTGAAGTTTTCTTCCACGTACCACCAAAAGGAGTAGTGTGCACATTACACTTTGGGAAACACTGGATTTATAGCTTAACATGCTTGGGCTTTGAAGAAAGAAGGCTTCTGCTTGATTCCTGGATCTGATATTTTCCAAGTGTGTGAATGACCTAAACTAAGTCCCTATTTCCCCATCTGTAAAATGAGTATAAGAAAACTTACCTTGTAGGATTCCTGTAAGAATGCTGTGAGATCCTGTTTTTTGATAAGGTATGGGCCAGAGAACACACTCTATGCTCTCTTCCCAGGCTTCTCCACATTCTGAGTTCTAATCTAGGCTCAGCATGGAATTATTACACAATTTAGGCAAATTGTTCAACTTATTTGAAAAGTTCTCTATTTTTGATCTATTAAATAGTTATGATCTTTGCTTTCATTTCCTACCAATCCTCTAGGAAATTAAGGACAAACAGTCCCTAGTAATTTCATAAACTGACTATCAGTGAGAACCGCACACCTTTGCTGGGAGCAGTGTGAGCTGGAATGAGCCCTCGCCTGTCTGCACGCAGCTCCGTGAATGCTCAGGCAGCGGCGTCTTCACCCCACCCGACTGTGAGCATATGCTTCACAAAGCTTACACTGAAAGGAGCCATTTCCCTCCCCCCATTCCTGACTAGCTATCACCCACCAGTTACCCTATTGTCACTTGAACACACAGAGTTGTGTTAAACATTCTAAATGAATTGGCCAATTATCTGGACACTTCAGATCCAGAAACCCAGATACTAAATACACCCATTGGGGTGACTAAAACTTCTCTTGAGTCATCCAGAATAAGTGTCTGTTCACATGTCAATGATGCTGAGAGCACAAAGAACAAAGGGTTAAAACATGAGAGGGGCGGCATGTCACTCAGAGTTCACGTGTTCACTTCCTGTCGTGCAGATGCCATGCTTACCTCGTTTTGAGCGTGGTTAGTTCTGAGTAGTTTATAGGGGCAAAAGTCAGTCATTTTAGGGAAAAGGAATTGATGGCTACCTTTTAGGAGCCTGGTCATACACCTATGGCTGTCTGCTTTTCATGAGGATGGAAATCATTTAGTTTTTGGGCCAACCATAACATTCCTTTTATTACTCCTTTGAAGCGAAACTTAATTCTTTGTGTATTTTTTTTTTTTTAAATACAGGACCTCACAGAGAAAATCTCACATTAAGTGAAACATGAGACAAGTTAACAGTTGATGATAATATGTAGGTGTCCAGATGATGGCTTATGAATCTGGGCTGGGTGTATGGGTTGGTGGGAAAACCCTGCCAGAAATCTGTTACATCATTACCGATTTCAATGGAAGACTGACCTTCTGTTGATAAGAAATGGAGAATTTAGAGAACTCTTTTACTATCAAAATGGTTTAGAATGTGACTAGTTGATTTGCTTGTTGTCTTGGGAGCTTAAATTAAAATGTGTGTTAATACTCACTTATAAACATTGAATGTTGTAATGGCTCTCTTTCTAGCTCACCTTCGTATCCTACTATTCACATAAATGTTCCCTTTCTACCAGGTAAAGACAAAAGAAACACCAATATTGTGACACGAACACAGTGAATTTAGAGCTTGGTGAATAGCCATGCTCAACCAGAGCTGTCTACTGCTCATCCTGATGGAAAATTACAGCCTAATCATTCATTTCTCAGTGCAGAAATTAAGAAATGGGGGCATAATTCTGGTGGCACTGCAAATTCTGAAACAACCCCAGATCTGATCAGTCAGTTGAAGGTGAGTTCAGGCATGGACCAATGAGACACCTAATTGGAATGTCGTGTGTTCCTGGGGAGTCCAGGTAAAACTTTAGGAGTTTCTACAATCCAACCAGCTGACACACTGCTTCTTTCCTGCAGTGATGGTTCTAGTCCCATTGCTCTGGAGAACCTGCTGGAGCTAGTTGGTTGTGGAAACATCTTTTAACCAGGTAGAGGGGTCTGGGTTGGAGATCCACCAAGCCTCCATCTAAGTCACCAGGGAAGCACATTAGTGTACAGAATATCCACTGATATACTTTGCTTCTTTCCCTAATGCTTCTGTATGGAGAAATAACATAGGCTGGGCTGGGATTTCCCAAGATGGTAAGACAGCTCAGGCTCACTTGTACCCCTACCTAAGTGTTGGAGATCATTACCGAACACAGTACATGCTGGTGTGCTCTTATTGTCTAAAATTCAACTGATTTTAAACTATAAGCAGTAGTTTACAGGCATAAACATCACCCAGGAGCTTGTTAAAAATGTAAATTCTCCGTGGATTCTGATTTAGTAGATCTGGAGAGCCATGAGCTTGCATTTTAACCAGCGCTCCATGTGATTCTGACAGGATGCCCTCTGGTCCACTCTTTAGGAAGCACTCTCTAAGGAATCAGGTACAATGCTTGTCGTCAGACTCGTCTCTGCAGTTACTGCTACACCACAGACGCTGGGCAGAAAAAACAAGGAAGGGGGAATTTAAGAGCCCATTTACAAATAATTCCTTAAAATGCCTGAAAATATTGAAGTACTTTCTGGAAAGGGATAGGTTGGGGAACTAGCGAGAATGGCCACCAATTGCTGCTGCGTCCGTGAAAAGAACCTAGAATTGTGAGAAATTATTTCCCATCTCTTTTGAAACCTAGTCTTTAGATATCTGCCCTTTTCCATCAGAACCCACGCCTCTCCTCCTAAAATGTTCTAGCCATGGGCGTTCTGCCCAGTGCCTGCCATCACAGGACACTAACCCACAGGCTTGTCTGGAAGTCGTGCAGCATTTCAAATAAAGGCAAGTCACCTCAAGTTAGGTCCCCACAGTCCCTTCCTTATGTTAATATGAACAGGTGAGAGAAGGTTCCAGGAAATTTGGTGGTGGAATCTCCCCGCCACCCTTGTAAGGTTCACTTGCTGTGAGTTGTGGGGTTGGGCTGACCTGTGGTGAGGATGCATTTAGGCTCCTCCTGTCGTGTTCACAATCTCCTCAGGACTCCTGTGGAAGCAAACTCTTTCAGTAAATTAATTAAAATAATAAACAGACATTAATCTTAGAGCACCTGGTCCTCCTTTCAAGTCTTTCTAGACTCTAGATGGTAGAAAAATGTGTGTCATGAAGCAGCCAATTCTGGGGAGAGCCCCACTAGACGAGGTGGACGCGGGTGGGAATATAGGTTGTTTCACCAAGAGCCATCTTTTACCTCTTTTTCTCCCTGGCCTTAGTGCTTGGATGACCTTGGCCATCCTATGCATCATAGACAGAAGGCTTTGCTGATGGCTTCACAACAGAGTTGTAATTGCTATACTTTGTTAAATTAATGCTTTTAACTTCCTGGTAAGGGAACTTAAGAGGACAAAACCGTTTTACGGCTAACATTTATAAAAAAAAAAGTTATCTATTAAGCAGTGTTCTTCAAACTTTAATGTGCATACAGATCTCTTGGGAATCTTGTTACAGTGCAGACAGTAAATCTGAGGTAGGGCCAGAGATCCTGCCATTCTAGCAAGCTCCCCAGTGATGCCCATGCTCAGCCTGGGGACCACACTGAGCAGCGAGGACTGAAGGACAGGGGCACGAATGGGGACCCACAGCACTCCTCTCAGCTCTGAAGTATGGCCCCTCCCCTGAACAAAATGCAGTCTCAGTTTTAGTCTGACTACCACGTGTTTCACGCTTGTGAGTGTTTGTTCCTCAACCTTGGAGGGGCGTGATGGGTGCTACAGTTGTGATCCTAGAAAGGGACATCAGGATCTACCTTGAGTTTGCACCACGGAGCGATCTGCTGTCCTGAAACAAGATGTCAGACCACACAACTTTTAAATTGTCAAAATGACATTTTTCAACTGATTTCCTTGGCTTTGATATGTGCAAAAGAATTACAGAAATAAGTGCACCAAACCTACGTTTCACAGAACTTCTGGCGAAGAATGGTGTAGTTGTTGCTCTTCAAATGAGTGCCCCTCACTGAATTCTCTTTGATCTCTGGGGTCTCAGACAGAGCTTGGCTTATCCAACTCTCTCACGATGAGCAACGCACTAAACAGCAGCTGATTTCAGTGTCCTCATCACACCCCTTTCCTATATCATGTGTTTCAGTGTAAGCTCTTGGGCAGGACGCGCGAGGAGCAGAGAGCTGGTCTCATAGTGATGCTGTGCGTTCACGGGGAAACGGCCTGTTCTCTGGGGCAGCTCATGTGTCTGCAGACCCTCCCTACACTTAGGAGAGGGATTCGCGCTGTTATCATTTTAGAGGTTAGTTGTCATCTTTGATTTGTGTTCAGATCTCTTCTCTTAGGAATTCAGAAGTGTCTGGTTGTGTTTTTGTTGGAATTGCCCAAAGTAAAGAAAAGTACACAAGAGTAAGAAGTAGCAGAAATGCTTCCAGGTGAGCTGTGGAAGACTCTTTACTGACACCTGACAACTTTTCTTATTTTAAGAGGAAAGTGGGAGGTGGGAAAAGATCCAGAGAAAAGTCACCAAAATGACCAAGGATATGGAAAACGGATTCTTCAAGAAAAAGCTGATGGGGATGGAATTGTTTTACCTGTAAAAGGAAGGATTGAGTCAGTTAACTCCCATTGTTAGAAATCTGGAGGGTTATCCGAGGCAAAGGGGTCAGTTATTCTCTGTCTTGACAAGGGAAATCTTTACAAGAGTAGATTTGACTGATAACCTCTCCAGTGCTTTCAAGAGCTATCATTTTCTTTCTTCTAAAAGTTAGTGTAGATTTTAGATACGACAAGTGGGTCTTTTTTATGGCCAAACTTATTGTGTGAAATCTGTATCCATTTATAGAATTGCTGGGTTATTTATATGAACTAATAGTGATATTTGCTAATTATTGCAAGTTAAATTTAGTTTCATCATAGTTGAAAATATAAACTGCTTACACAAACCCACATTTTATAATTTGTTCTCTCTCCCTTTGAAGTTCTTTAGTAGCTGTGCCCTCCACCTTTGGATCACCACTGCACCCCATGCTAATGGGTATAAATTATAGTGGTGCCAGCTTGTCTTACCTTTGTTAAATATGTGCCAACCGTTTCACAACGAACCTTTCCTTTCCATTTTATGACTGGCTGTAAAAACTGTTCACAGCCAGTGAATGGACATGGGGCATTATGTCCACAGTCTTGAAAGTCCCAACAGAAGCCAATTTTTTTACTCTCTAAGGATGGTTCATGGCGTTTTCACATCTCTTGATGTTCTTCCTTTACTCTCTTTTTTTCCCTTGTCTTTGCTCTGTTTTTCCCAAAAGAAGATGGGAAGAAAAACAACAAAAAAGTAAGCCAGTCAATTGTCCTCTTGTGTCACTTCTGCATTCTGGTGAGGAGGGAAATTGATATTATTGTAAAAACAGCAATCTGTGATTTAATTTAACATACAGTACTTTTCCTATCCATTATTATTAGGGTTAATTGAGAGTTGGCCATCTTTTAATCAGATGTCACAGTGGTCTAAAATTAGAATCAGATGAAGACCTAATAGTTTTTACGATTAGTTATCTTGTGGGAAACATTGATTTGATTCCCAGTTTACAACTTTTCAAAAGTTGTAAAGCATAATTTTGTGGTGGGTTGAGAATTAGATAGCCCCAGAACATATATGCACTTTTTCATGAGTGGAAAGAAAAATAAAACAAGAGCTTAAAAACAGTAATGTTTGAGGCACCCGAAGAAACTTATACAGAAAATAGAAATATCTAGAAAGGAAGGCCAAGAAAAGGATATCCAAATAATACCTGAAAATAATCAAATGTTGAGCAAGTATGTGACCTTGTTTGGATTTGAATGAAGAGGCAAACTATGAGGAAAGAGGAGAGGAGAGGGAAAAAACATTTTGCGGGGGGGGATAAAAATGATTTCTAATGTCTTCGATAAATCAGGATATATGCAATCTCCATTTATTCTCAATAGAGCTAATTGAAAAATCTCCTGGGAATGTTTCCATATTGGCTCTTCTTGAAGGAAATTGGTTGGGGAAAAAACTTTGGAGTTTGGAGGTTTTTGTCATTTCTTAAAGCATGGAACAGGTTTTCTGCACCACACATTCCAAATCATAGTTCTAGCTGACCACGTGAGCCAGATCGATCTGGTTCAGACTTCCCTAGAACTGTGAGCCTAATGGATGCTAAATGGAGGTTCATCACTTCCTTGTGAGAGGCATGTAAGCAAATAAAGAGTAACTTAGAAATGCCATACACACCTTTTAATTGTAGAACAAATGGAGAGCCAGCCCAACCAGTGGATTCTTGACTATGAAGCCCGCTTTGTCTCTTGTCCTCTCTTCACGTAGCTTGGGGTGGGAATCTTCTTTATGTTTAGTCCAAGAGGTTGGTTGACATGGAGGTGGAAGGTGATGGGCCATTTGTTCACATCTGTGTAACGCCAATCAAGTGGCAAAGGGGAAAGTGTGTGCTCTCTCATTCAGGAAAACAAATCCTGCTGCTTCACACTTAGGAGCAAGCCTGGTGTCTTGAAGCCAGTGGAAGAAGGCACCAGGGCTGGGCACCTGGGCCTCAGCCCAAACACCACAGAGAAAATCATTCCATGCTAAAGTATCTGACATCAGGAAACCACTGCTCACTGACTCTGAACTTGGCCAGGACATTCCCAGTGGTTCTTGGAGAAGGAAAGTACAAGACCAAAGGAGAAGACCAGCAATGTTAGCCTCAGGGGTAACAAGGCAAAAGTCCTGATTTTATGATCCAAGAAAGGCTGAGAAGTGGCCTCCCATATCTCAAAGGGAAAGTAAGGCTACCCTCTCCAAAGGCTGCAAATAAAAGTCTCTGATGTTGGGACTCCCTTCTTTCTTGTGCACAGCACTTTCCGACCCAGCCAGAATATTGTCTTAAAATCTTTCTCAAAATAATGCTGCAGGGAGGCCCTGCCAATGGGCTGGAATTGACCTGAGACCTATTTGACATCCTGGTTTATGCTATAGGATAGTAGTGTTTCTTCACTGGAGAAACCATTGTGCTGGAGCCAGGGAGAATAGGCACGGTAATGGTTTGTTTCTTTCTGGAAACTCATCCCAACGGCATGGAAACATGGGTGTGGTACAAGTTGGACTGTGATTTTCGGTGGCTAGATCATATGATAGGTCAGCGGATGGGTCAGAGCCTCCTCCTGCCTGTCTTATTCACTAGAATTCCAAGTGCTCAGCACAGTTTTGACAATGTAGTCAATGCACAGTAAATGCTTGCTGAATGAACAAATGTGAAAACAGTGGCTAAAGTGAAATCATAATGGTCAAGTCCCATTTTGTAATTATAGAGTGAGTTTAAGAGTTAGAATTTTTTTCAATTTTGAATTTTTCTCCTCTATATTTTTAATTAAATAATAATAACTGCTTCTATTTAACCTATCAGTGGTATGAACTAGTAGCAAACAAATGCTAAGAGGAAACTTTGGAAATGTGATTTAAAAGAAAACGATTCTATAGATATTTTTTGAGATACAGAGAACAGCATACAAATCATATGGGCATATTTTTCCACTAGTAAAATGCGGGGAATTCTATGTTACCAATTCATGATGTCCCACAAACAATATGATTTTCAGGTGTTAAAACCACCCTCTCCTGCCAAACCCTACATTTTAGAACAATAGTTCTGAGTAGTCCATAGCATGCATCAGAATTACCTAGAGGGCTTGTTAAAACCCCAATTGCTGGGTCCCACCCTCAGAGTTTCTGATTTAGTAAGTTTGCATTTCTCACAAGTTCCCAGGTGATTCTCTTGGTCCACAGACCACACTTTGAGAACCACTGATTTAGGGCATAATTTCTTGAGATAAAGACACCTTTTCTCATTTTGGTTCTCTTTCTCAAATACCCTCTGAAAGATGCTGAACATAAGAGCCATTTAAACATATATTAACTCACGTAAGCCTTATAAAATCCTGTGAGGTGTATACTATTGTTATCCCCATTTTGAGGTAGAGAGTTTGAATAATAAGAGGAAGACACAGCATTTGAACCCAGGTAGTCTGGCTTCAGACTCTTAACTATAGCATTATCCTAACTTAAGAAAAGGACTAACTGAAATAGATACTCCCAACCATGTGGTTTTGCTGCAGGGCAAGAAAAATAACTGAGAAGATTCCAAAGGCCTAATTGTTCAGGAGAGAAGCAAAAGATGGGCTCTTTAGACTGGGGTCACTCTGGACCCCCTCCCCCGAGTGCCTCATTGTCACTGCTTAAGGCAGAATGAAACCTCCCTTCCTCAGAGGGCAGAGCAAATGACTGGAAACAACCTGGATGTTCTTTCGAAGGGGTCTGATAAAATAAATTAAATAAATAAAGGCACATCCATTCAATGGAATAGAACACAGCTGCAAAAGAAAGAATAAGGAAACTCTTTATGTACCAATATGTAAATGGCACCAAGATGTATAGTTAAATTTTTTTAAAAGGAAAAAATAATTCATTTATGTTTGCTTACATATGCATAAAATATCCTAGAAGGGCACATAATAAAGCAATAATAGTCACTGTTGGGGAGGAGGAAATTCCCCCTCTCTACTCCTGTTGTCTGGACTAATTATAAAATTGACATAAGACCAGATTAACAGGAGAAAAATCAATTTAATACAAGTGCATGGGAGATCATAAAAAATGATGCTAAAACAAAGCAAGCAGTTTATATATATTTTTACACAAAGAGACAATAAATTTGTGAAGATTTGACAAGACAAAGAAACTTAGGTTTCGGGTATGTAATTAGTGAGGAATTTAAGCAGAAATTGGGTTTAAGGTAGTAATTAGTAAAAGTAGCAAGGTTTGTTTATACAGGCTTCTTGGCCCTGAGTTCCCTGGCTCTGGTGATAAGGATGTTTCTGTCCCCTGGAGAGGGGCGGGTACCTTTCACATGGGAGATTTATTTCCTGCTTTCAGGGGGAACAGAGAGAGGAGGATCAAAACTTTAAGTCAAAACAAGTAATTTTGATTCAAAATAATCAATACGCCACGTGGGGATACGTTGGGGCGGCCTGTCCTGGGCCCCAACATCACCATCTGAAGGAAGAGGACTGGGTAACCAGGGACAGGAATGAGAGGAAGGGCTCTTTCTCTTATATTTTTGTAGCTTTTGAAAATTAAATGATTAACATTTAAAAGTTGGTGATAGATTTTCTGGGGCTTTCTTTATTTGATAATCTGGGAAAGCTTTCACTTTGGGTTTATTTCCCATTCACTCCCAGCATTTCACAGGTCTCTTTGACTTACCCAGGTAGAAACCCACTACTGCCTGATGGGCTGGTGTTTAGGGCTTGGTTAGTATCTGCTCGTGAAGCACAATTAGCAGGGTGTATTTCAATGACTTTGGAATTGTTTTTGCATTGTATGTAAATGACTAAATGTAAACAATTTGGAAGAAATAAAAAACTATTTCTCTTAGGAAACAGAGGCTACTTTAATAATAATGGCATCACGTGTATATAGCACTTTATAGTTTATAAAATCCTTTCACATGCATCAGGCCACTTATGCCTCACAACAACTCTGAGAGGGAGCTATTACAGTCCCCATTTAATAGATGAGGAAACCAAGGCTTGAAGAGTTCCAGTAACTTGTCCAAGATCAGAAAGCTATTAAACAGTAGAGCCAAGACTGGTACCCAAGTATTCTGACTCAAGGCCCATGAATTTTTTCACCTGGCTTTTTATGATTGTAAAAAGAGAAAAATTAATATACTTTTCCAAAAAAAGAAAAAGACTGACACATCCATAATACCATGACTCCAACAAAAAATGTTATTAAATTTACATATTATCTTCCAGGGTTTATCCATATGCCTACAACTATTATCTAGTTACAATCATAATACATGTGCAATTACATATTCTGTTTCCCCCCCCCACTTTACACTGCTATCCTGAAGCATTTTCTGAGTTGCAACATAATTTTCATAATTAGCAGATTGATAGGTTCATATTTCATCAAGAGCCATGCTAACACAATCTGCTACTGTTTGACATGGATTCGTTTGATTCATTCATTCATTCCTTCAATAATTACTAGACCCCTACGATGTGCCAGGCCCTGTGCCAAAGGCTGGGGACATGTCAGTGACAGGTACACACATGGAAGAGACACTGAGGTGTGGGAAGGTGAGAGAACAGCTGGTCAGGGAGGGAGGCCTAGCTTCCTAAAGGAAGTATACGCTGAGACATTGAGATCATCATCAAGATTTTTATTAAAAAAATAACACTGCTGGAAACACCTTTGTCTTACAGTTTTTCCATTTTAAAAGTTTTTTTTTACACAAGTGAATTCCATGTT